TCTGAGTGAGGCCTAGCCATCCAGAGCTTCCCAGGAGGGGGGGGGGGGGGGGACGGGGACACACGACTCCTACCCGGTGTCTGCTCTGCCCTGGCACTGATCTAGGCTCTTGATGGGTAGGAGGGCCAAGCAGGTCTACGTCTCTGTCCCAGTTTGCCAGCTGGAGGGGAGCAGGCTCGTGAAGGCTGCCTCGGGCTGCTTGGGCGGAGCTGGTTCTGACCCAGCTCTGGGCTGGGGCGGTCTGCTTCCTGTCTCGCTGAGCAGTGTTTTCCGCAAGAGCCATAGACTCCAGCCGAGCCAGGGCCTGTGTTACCGGCCACGCTGACCGTCGTGAGATCCCCGAGTGCGGGCCACCTGCCTCTCTCCAGGTGGCAGTGTTGTGTGGCTGTGGCCGTCTAGGGCTGGGCTGGACTGGGTTGAAGCCCTTCTTCCTGGTGGTGTGGGGGTTATGCGTTGAGCTGCTAACCCTGAGGTCAGTAGTTCGAAACCACCAGCTGCTCCTCGGGAGGACGTTGAGGCTTTCTACTGCCATAAAGAGTTACAGTCTCAGAAACTCACAGAGGCAGTTCTGCTCTGTCCCGTGGGGTCGCCGTGAGAACAGACTCGATGGCAGGAGCTTGGTTTGGGCTAACCCTCTCTGGTGGGGGTGCCTTTGCACCCTGGATGCCCTCCTTCATGTCAGGCAGCTGAGGCCCAAGGTTGCCATGTGGCTGCAACAGCGAGGGGCCAGGTGGGCCCAGAAGGGAGTGTGGCCAGGGTGTAAGGAGCAAGCCCACTCAGCCCCTGCTGTGCTGAGACCCTCCCCCAGCTTCCCTGGCACAGGTCTCGCCCCCGTATCCAAGGAGCGCCCCCTCACCCCCCACCCCAACATGCTGCCTGAGTGGCAGGCAATGAGGGCATCATCCTTGCCTCCAAACTCAGTGCTGGCCACGCCCCTCCTTTGCCACCTTCCTCTCCCCTCCCCTTCCCTGTGCTCTGGCTCTGACTTTGGACTCCACCCCTCTCCTCTCCCCATGTTCTGCTCCTCCGGTGTCTCTGGACCTTGGGCAGGCTTTAGATTCCTGCACCTGCACAAGGACCCAAGCCCAACCCTGGCCTGTCTTGCAGCCGGGTCTGTCTCCTGCTAGGTCTGTCTCTGGTGGACGAGCCTGTCTCCTGTGACCCAGTCTGCCCCATGCTCTTCTGTGGCATCAGGCAAGTCCGTGTCCGATCTGGGTGCTCCTGCTGGGCTCTCCGACCGTGGACATGTGGCCTCTCCAGCTCCCTCATGTCTGAGGTGGACACAGGCAGACAGCAGGTCCGTCAGGACAGACAGCAGTCTGCTCCCCTCAGTCAGGGCAGACTCGCTTGGAGCCCGTGTTTTCAGAGCTGTGACCTCTCGGGAGCAGGTCACCAGGCCTCTCTCCCTCGGGCCTTCAGGTGGATTCGATCCGTCGCCTTTTCAGCTTGTGACCCGTACGGTCATCAGTCACTGGCCCCCAGCTGCATGTTCAGCTCCACACTGACTTGTTTTAGGAGCGCAGACAGCATCGGCCCTGCTGTCCATTGAGTGCTTGTCCCGCGCTGTTGTGAGCGGGACCTGGCTGGCACGAGCTGTGGCTCTATTTTTCAGGCACGCATGAGGCCAAACCCTGCTTCTCTTGACGAGCGAGCGCCTGCCTGGACGGCCCTCCTGTGCTTCACAGCATCCTTTCCCTCCCTTTTCAAACCAGGCCTGGACGCCGGGGCAATGAGGCGCATGAGAGTGTGTGTGTGTGTGTGTGTGTGTGTGTGTGTGTGTGTGTG